CATGACTTACCTGCAAGATTGGTAGTCTTCGTAACACATTTATTACCGTAAGCCAATATAGACGCGTCCAATGGCAAGCTTTATTAGTCCATTTTATTACCAAACTTTCAGTTGTCGAAACGGTTGGGGATCGAAGAACTTCCAATAGTTCCCTCTTTGATACCATGATCGAGATCGAAAGCAAAACAGTAATCTAAGATTTGGTTAAATTCTTGCACTTCCTCAATTGGCCGGTTGTCTAATGGAGTAGCAAATCATACAGAAACTCATCAAAAAGGCGCACTAGAGAAGATCTGCTCTAAGTCACAAGTAACTGAATTATTGAAAAGTCGCAAGTTTTGAGCCCAAATTTACCGAGAAAGTGGTTTTCCATCAAGAATACTCCTCAAGTTCTAGCAGCCATGGTAAATTTGTTGATACACCGTCAATTCGAGTGACAGGACTAACGCTTTACGACTTCGGCGCCTTGACCCTTCTTCAGGCGAGGATAAAGATATCGGTTCCACTTATCCAAACAGACCGAGATTGGCCCCCTAGAGTAAACAACCCAAGCAGTTATGGTTGTTTCAGTTTCGACACTTATTTCCCATGATGTCTGTTAATGAACCGGTTAATGGGAGAATCAAGAAGTGGGTACCTAAGCCCTGAATTGTAATTTAAAATCAACAACCATAAAAATGGGACGGAAGTAAGTAAAAATCAAACGGAAATGTGTCTTTGCAAAAAGGCAGGTCCGCGAAGAGAACTGACTTGTTGCAGGAACTTCTGGATGGTCGTGTAGACCCGGTTGTCGGCGGTCACCTCCACGAGATCAGCCTGCATCTTGAAGTAGACAGAATGCCAGAGCCCGTCTGCAAAGGTGCCATTCAGCGCAACGGAATCCTCATTAGGTATGTCGCAGCGTATAAAGTTGACGCCGGGCATCAAAATCTCCACCACCAGGTGTCCAGTGATGGAGTCCATTTCCAACTGTAGGGGGTGAAAGAGTAACTCTGAGCACTGTTTCTGCGTGCTTCTCTGTAGGAATATCAACGTGCTTTCTAAGAATTACTGGTGTGTACTGAATGTGTGAAGACTAATTAAGAGTCTAAGACAACCAAAGACCCCGATACTGACGGAAGGAGAGACAAGGCTCTTCATCAGAGTCCCATTTCAAGGGGAGGCACCAAGTGAACTTTTAAGAAGACGCCTAACTCAAGCTGTATCACAGACCTTTCCAGCAGCTGACACCCGCGTACTGTTCTCCACTAGTTCCATCCCATACGGAGAGAGCAAGAATAAACTACCAGCTCAGACCACCTCTATGTGTATTTACTCCTTCACCTGCTCCTGTGAGGCAGCATATATTGGTCGCACGAGCCGGCATTTATCCAAAAGAATAAGGAATATCTTCCAGCATGGTTAGGAAAGGATCAAATAAAGAACATCAACAGCTCGATCCTCGCGCACATGGTAGACAAATACCACCGTGTAGACGTCAGAGAGGTCTTCAGAGTAATTTACAAGGTTCCGTCAAGCTATCCAAAACTACTTGGGCAGCGCATGTTGGCTACGGCAGAGGCGGCTGCAATCAGGCTACGCGGGCCGGTCCTATGCGCACAGAAGAACTTCATACAGGTCCCACAATTGTCATGGTTTAATGCAACCAAGCTACCTGCCCGCATACAATTACCTTCCCCGGGGCCCACCTTCTCCCTGACGCCAACTGGAATTTTGATGTTTCACTCTCCCCCTTCCCCCCCCCCCTCCCCAAACCAGAGCTACAGCATAATTATCTACTTGTCCGTATCTTTTAATTCATTACTTCAATAGCCATACAAATGTACAGGCCTGAAGAGAATTTGTCGAAAGCACACGTATGCTCGCCAAATTGCCTTTTGAATTGTAATTAAGAGCAAGTATCTTTGCTTTCAGACGCCTTAAATAGCCTCTGACAGAGCTGTCAGAGCTAAGCAGCGCGTCTGCGAATGCCACACACGACCTAGCTATACGCACGACAAACCAGATTTTCACACAAAGGAGTGTTCGCCTCGAAACACGCATACATGAGAGCATCATGGCGGCCGTGTTAAGAAGCCGCTCAACCTGATTCACAGTCCACCAGTCGACCACTCCACAAAAACACACGCAAGGTCAACTTCGAGGTCTGAGTTGTATCGTCAGTTGATAGCCTACAAACACACGACGCTTAATGCGTCGGGATGGATTCAGTCGAATCAGACTTTTTATGTTTGGAAATGCGCTGAAATGTCGTGAGGATGACGTCCTGAGAGTCGGTCTTACTCCTCTCCCCCTCTCCCCCTCTCTATCTCTCTCTCTCTTCCTAGGCACCAACACTCAGTCCGAGCCGGTCAATCAACTGTTGCTGAGATTGGCTGTAGTGTCTGACAGGGCCAAAACAGTTCGTCTGCCCCTGCCACACACGATCCGGTTCCCCACACAGAACGCCGGGTTTTCGCATTATGGGGTAGGACCAATTATATATGAGAGAAAGGACACACACTGAACTTTCGGATTTTCTGAACAAACGAACTCTCAGTGTGTTGGGAAGGAGCCTCAAATAGGTAGTCACCTAGTAAGCCAAATATGGCCATTCTAAGATAAGGATAGGGTAAGGAAGGGGATAGAGGGAGCTTAGAGAAATTTGCTGTTCTATCTTCATTTAATCGATCATAATCCTAACTACCGCCTTGGATAAGGATAAAGGCACTGGTGAAGTTTGGTTTGGCAAAGTTTCTAGGACCCATCAGGTAGACCTCGTCTACGGACCACCTCTGTAATGTATGTGTGTACGCTTGAGCCACTGATCTTGGGTGGTGATCGATGCTACGGCTAATACAATTAGCCTGGAAAAGCAGATGCCCTGGCCTACTCGCATCCCTGTCGTCAACCTACAAATGAGCAAAATAGACGTCATCGGAGGACGGGCTAACTCTCACCGAGACATAATGGACGTCTGCATCGATGGTGTGGTAGAAGAGAGAACCTCCGCGGTTGAATGTTCGGAAATCCATGCTGAACTGAAGTGTACTAGCCTCGCCTCCCCGTTCCACGCGGATGTAAACCAGGGAGCGTTCGATGCGTGGAAAGGTGATGATGGTTGGATCTAGAACCGGGGCTGGACAGGTTTTGCCTAACTTTCCTGTACCACCAATGGTGAAGCCGGTGATGTTGAGGTCCTGGGTAGTTGTTGGAGGACCCCACCAGAGAAGGGGGTCCTTCGAGGGGTAACCGAGGGCCTCAAGCCAGTCCTCGGTACGCCACTGTTCTTCCGTCATTATGAGGCCCTGCTGAGTGCGTTGAGTGTCGCGGATGAATTGGACTCCATTGAAGTTGAATTCCTCCAGGCAACCCATAAAATTCTCTGTGACAGTTACACTCTTCTTGTTTGCAAAACTCGGCAGACCACCGACATACAACTACAAAGAGATGGAATAGGAGGAGAATAATCGATTTAGTTCCGAGTGGATGGAAAACGGAATTAGTGCAGAAGGGACGACAGGCTTACTTGAAGTCGCGACTCTGTAAGAGACAATAACTGTCTCTTGCTCGAGTGGATTATATCATATTCACTTGAAACGGCAACGTCCGGTCGGAAAAATCCTCGAAATCTCATGCTAACAGATGGCTCTTCTCGGAAATCGACCCCGTTTAGTCGATTTTAACATGAAAAATAATTATTAAAGGCCTGTGTGAAGTGTACTAGCCTCGCCTCCCCGTTCCACGCGGATGTAAACCAGCTTCAGTACCTATCTCGCAAAGAGCTTGAGTCTTGCTCTTTTATTTAAGACACAATTAATTCAGCAAGAGGGGCACAATTCAGACAGGTAGCTGAGGGGTAGCTCAAACGACGGTTAGGGGACCCCTTAATTGAAGTGCTTTATAGAAAGATCCTGAATTTAATACTTATGTAAATCAAGCTATCTAAATGAAATAAGTAGACACGACGCATGAATTTAGATCGCGGGGGATATATTCTCGTGCCCTACTGGTGAAGTTGACTTCTCTCCCTTTTTGTTTAATTAATTTGAAATCTTCAGAGCATTAAAGTTAGTTTGATCAAAGTTTCCAATGGGACCTAGTCACTGATAGATTGGGAGGCATTTTCATAGGGGAGTCAGCTCCACAAACCATCAGAGAGCTGTTAAATTTGTGGATAAAGCCCGTCACTACTAAGAACTAAACATACCCTACGGTTCATGTCCATGTGCAGAAAGACGGCTGACAGGTTTCTCCACGTAGACACGCCATCCACAGATATGTTTAAATTTTTCTCTGTCCTTATGATGGATACGTCGTGCCACTGGTCGTCATCAAGAAGACTGCCTGCAAGAACGCTGTTATCAGTTTGCTCGTCCTCCCATGGAAAAGTGCCCAGGTTGACTGAGACCTGTAGTCTTCCGCTAAATCGAAAAGGACAAACACATGATTCAGTCTCGTGGCGTCATTTCCAGATAATACTGTGTGGTTTCGGTCAACTGAGAGATATATCTGACTAGATCAATAATTTCAATCGCATTTGTAGGACTTGGGGATAACAATTATTTTATTCAGTGGATACTAATCAACCTATGAGTGCGAAATTTCTGACTTCGGTGCAGAAGAGTAAAGAAAGGATTATGGAAAACATTTGGGCTTTTTGAAAGACTCACACGGGCTAAACACGTTGTTGTTCTTACTTATAATAAATGACAGGTATAGGAATTTAAATCAGTTGTCCGAAGACTGCTGCAGCGCAAGTTTTCAGACTATGGGAGTCTCACCAGACGGAAAAAACAACTAGTGTAAGAAGTCGGTTAGCGCGAAATTCAGCTTCTCTTTGCATTATTAGGAGATGCACACATACCGGAATAATTCAACAGTGAAGTAGTCATGCTGACTGTCATCTCCGTAAAGAATAAGACCATTCACTTTTGATGTCCGAAAACGGAATTTGAGATTATCAACAGCGGTCTGTGTTTCCCTTCCTGGACGATCCAAGAGCAGTTCGATCCAGGTTTTACCGTCAAAATTTGCCGTGAAGGGTCCTACAATCGTGAAACTCGAAGCCTCAGTTTGTATCACTTGACTTTTGTCGAGTAAAAAACTACGTTTTAACATAAAGTGCAATACTCACTCTTACCCAAGACTCGGCCCAACATTCAGATCGGCGCAGACATTTATGGAAAATATTTGCATGTAGTAGTCAGAGAAAACATTAATCTGCATTTCTATTTATCGATTTAACATATCAAACGAGAGTTTTTTTGAAAATATCTACTTTGTCACGTAGAAAGATAATTTTTGCTGATTTATCCTTTCTTACCAAAGAAAATAAACAAACCATGAAAAATAAAGCGGGTTTGGGTGTTTCTTTGTGACAGCGCCATTTAGGTAACCACCCGTCAGAACTAAGGGAGGGGGTGGGATACTCGACGGAATTAACCAGGCTGACAGAACAAGCAATCGATTCCGACTTATCTTTCTTTCGTTTTGACTAAAATTAAGCTAGCTTGGACACCCAGTTATGGCAGTTAAAAGCGCTGACGTATGTGTTAACTGCTAAAAGCCTTATTTAAAACATAATTTTTGTGGGCAAATAAGTTAAAAAAAAATACAGGAATAGTAAGATAAAAGGCGAAAAGGGGTCCTTCTGGCAAACACAGCAGGTCGTTTCATCAAATAGATATTACAGTTTTCAAAATAAGTTTGGTAATTACACAGGCTTCATTTTTACCCTTTATGTTGTTCTACTTCATTGGAGGACGATGACAAGGAGTTTTTGGTTTAATCTTAGGCAACATCGCCGGCGTTTTAATGTGTTACAGAAACAGGCTCGTGAACTTTAAGCCGTTTTCTGTTAATTACAGAACGTTCTTTAGCAAATTTATGTCTCTGAGAGGTATGGCAATCATTAAATATCATGGGGTCTAAACCGCTGTTTTGAATCTTGAATAGCTAATAAGCTCATAAAGCTGCATCATCAAGCACGAATATTATGCAGTGTATGCTGCCTGGGCTATCAGGGCCGTAACGTCCCTTGAAATTAACAGGGTTGTTTGAATGTTGTGACACTTTTGAAGCGCGGATCCAGGATGAGGATGGTGTGACCGCATGTCGGCGAAAATAGCCGATGTTCCACCCTCACGTCCCCGCTGACCCCTCTCCCGTTGTTACCGTCGTTATCGTACCGTATCTCCCACTCTACGTCGGCACTTTCCACGATCCCACCCCACAGTTGCCGACATCGCTGCATTCCCCACCGGTTGTCTAGCTGGTATTTCGGTATCACCCCATCATCCAGACGGATCATCACATCTTCTGTAATTCTTATCCCCCTTTGAATTGTTTAACATTATCTTATGTACCTATTTCGTTGCTCTTAGTATACGTATTGCGCACCACTTGACTTTTTCTACTGTCAGCTTGGATGAGATCAGTGACCCGTTTCACATCTCTCTTCAGATCAGATTAGCTAGGATTTATAGCTAGTACTCCATGTTACCCCATGCGTGCTACCCTCAACGTCTTTGGCCGCTACAGCGCGTGACAAGCGAACGATTAAGGTCATGTACCCCTGTTCACATCCTCTCTGTGCTAACTGGTCACCCATCAGCCTATGACATTCCCCTCTGCCATATAACCGGCCGTTTCCACAAGCCTCTTCACTCATGCTGTTTCTCGTACTCAGTAGACGGCCTATTTCAAGCAAACCCTCTGTTTTGCATAAATAACTTGAATTAAGGTTGCATTTTCCTAGATGCTGCGATTGCAAGGGTACCTTTTAGGTGAAAGCCGTTGTTCATTGTTGTTCTGGTTCATGTAAACTGGGAACACTATTTCACGATAAAAAAAATGTAGCCAAGCGTCAAGCAACATCAATAGATCAAAGACACTAGAGGAATCCTGGTATATTAGAAACAAATCTGCGAATACAATTACTTAAATAAGGAGATCAAGATGTAGCACAAAGCTTATTTCAACTATATTCTAGACCGAAAAAGGATGGCGGGTACATAATGGGTCATAAAATAACTATGACGCCTACATAGAAGGCGATGGAAAACTGCCCCAGTGTGTGCTGAATAACGTTTCGTTAAATATCCGAAACCACACAAAACACAATGGGGATCCTTTCAATGTGCCGGATCGGTCGTATTTTCGCCAATCAGCATTAGAAACATTGATAAACACGGGCCTACAGTCTTTTTTAAATACTTGCATTGAGAGACTAGTGAAATTACGGTCGTATGAAGTCACGCTATTGGTAGTACTATTACTTTTGAAGAATGAGTTTTGAACAGTTATTCTGCGTAGGCTGGTTGTCCGCAACCCAGCTTACCAGGGCATGCGCTTCCAAATTAATCATTTAGTAGGTTGCAAAATTATTTACTTATAATTTATGCCCGGAGTTTATGTGCCGAAAAGCACTCATAGAATGCTGGGGAGCGCAATAAGGTGCCGAAGCACTTGCAGCTTCTTTGCATAGTGGTAGTAATAGTAGTAGTAGTAGTAGTAGTAGTAGTAGTAGTAGTAGTAATAATAATAATAGTAGTAGTAGTAGTAGTAGTAGTAGCTGCATGAGCCCAGATTTAGGTCGTATATGTGTTAGGAATACATTTGTGCTACTGCCATGTCCAAATCCAAACACTGATTTTGCAAACATCAGCCCCGCGGACTTCCGTATACAAAAGACAGTGTTTGCTTCATATTTTCTCGAGAGTCCTAAGTCCGTTTTTGAATCTTTGCCCGATTTGCACTGGGGACTTTAACATATTTAATGTTCAGACTTTTTGTGCCCTTTTGGTTGCCCCGTCACAGTCCGTCCGCTCGGTTTGTGTTTTTTGCTAATTTTGCATTCTCATCTGTGCCCAGTGGTCCGTTTTTCTCATTGATTTAGGTAGTGTTCGGCCACCAAATATCGCGTTATACATTTTAGCAGGCGTTCTGGGCTTGGCTGAAAGTTGCCACCTTAGTAAATTATTTTAATCCAGCATACCACCCTTTAGGAATATTTGGACTTGATTCCGTACTTTACTACTCCAGATGAATCTAAATTCCACTGAAAATGTCACAAACGTGGGCCGAGTCGATAACACATATATGACAAACAATGAAATGTGACTCATGATAGAAACCACTAAAATCCTTGACTTACTGTACTCGCAGCCAAAAAGCTCCATCCGTAGGGCAATTAATCCATTCCATCGCTGTGGATTGAGCCTTATATAACGGGCAACGACTGGGTGAGTAAAATTTACAGTTTTCACAGTGTTTCCATCAGAATTCCCGTCAAAAAGCTGAGAAAAATAAGTAGTTTGAAATCATTACTTGTGGTTCTCCTAGAGAATCCTTTACAACCGACCACTGAATCGGTTGGTCTGCATCCGTGTAATAAATATAATAATCCTGAACCCATTCCCGTGAACCCTGTCGGCCTTGAGTTGCAACGGAAGTTATTATCTTCCTTTTCAGGAGATCGATTTGTATCCACTGTTTGTCGTCATTATCACGAGCGACCCAGGCCCCTGCACCTTCTGTAATTTTGGTTTCATATTAACAATTTATACATATAATTAAGTTACGAATTGAGGAATCGTAAACAAAGGCTAAATTTTTCATTGGTTTTATAAAACCGAAAACCTTCTGATATGTGGAGACGTCCATAGTACGGCCGTGTTTGATCAGAAAACCATGAAGAGGCCGTTATTTGATCATTTAGTATTCCAATATAACGGTTTGTCATGCCGAGAGGGACGACTGGATAGAACGTGCAGTCCTCTACAAAATATATTGACTAAAATATGGACTATCACTGACGAGCTCCAGTCTTCTTGAAAATTAGAAGTACAATAAAAATGCAATTAAGAGTATTCATGTCGTCAATCCAGAAGGCATGATCGCTGTACAGATTTGCCTACGCGGTGACAACACGGTCGGAGCAAATTAGATAATTTAAACAACAGCCGCGGTTCGTATTACTGGTCAATCCTGCGAAGATTTATTACACCATGCAAGCTCTTAAACAAAATGGTATCGTTTCAACTTATTATTATGGTCTTTGAAATAAAATATGGTTTGCGGAACCGTATAATTGACTTGACATCATATGCACATTTACTATCTATGATCCGTAATAAGCGCTTGCTGAAGTTATAGCGCCAGAGATAAAAACTTGCAGAGATATACACACTATCTGCCCCTGTATTGTGGCCTAAGAGCGTATATTAACAGAAATAACAATTTCCCTCCAGTTTTTTGTATATCCTGCCAAAAATGAAATTTTGCAGTCAAAAATCATTTTGGTTCAGATCCCCAATTCCCGTTGGCTATGCCCTCTTTCGCTGATTTCTGTTTTTCGTTGATTTTTCTATTTTTCGCCGTTCCATCTTTTCAGGTTTCTTCGTCCTCACCCATGTGCTGATGGATTTGACATCCCCCCCCCCTTCCTGTGTGATTTAGATGTCAGTGCAATTTTAAGCGTTGTCGCTCTGCCCTCTGTAGGCAGCATCACTGCTTAATTTCTGCCAAGTATTTCAATGCTAAAGTTCGTCATTTTGATATAATCCGGAAATGTTGAGTGGTAATGATACTTAGGTGTGGATTAGGAGTCCATGCACGTAAAGAATAACCACAAAACTGAACATGAAATTGCATTTATGGGGGATAAATCAATCAATTTTATTGTTATTTATTTAAAGTTCTATGGCAGATCTAAATGTCGGCTGACAACAACATTTACACAGGCAATATTAGTAACATTATTGGCCAATTCAGGGTTATCATCGATATAATTACAAAATATGGATAGCGTAAACAGGTAAGTAAGACTTTTTATGTAAAAGAGTAGTTAGGGTGAGTTTGAGAACTTTGAAAGTTTGAGATAAATATCCAGGGCGCGAAGGATGAGCATAACTTAAAGAACGAATTTTTGGTATAAAGGATATTGGTGCCTTCATAACTCATTTTCTTATTTGACAAGGACTTACATCAAACCATGAAATGAGTGTTGAACAGGGGGGCAACATTCTGAATTAGATTGTGAAGTCGACGCCTTGATGGTAGGCAGCAGTGAAAGTCTTGCTTCTCACTGGTCGAGAGAGGAGTGAGTGGCTAAAAGCCGCGGACCTTGTTGTTGCGAAAGATAAACGCGGTAGATTCTGACGCCAAAAAATTTGAAGCGTGCTCTGAGTTCAGGTAAGAGATGTTAATATCAGCGAGGAGGGACGACAGAGAATGCGGGTAGATTGATACAGCACTGTTTCAGGCTTATTCTGCCTTCATTCAGCCAATCATAACCCTCACCACCAGCAGCTGGGACCAGGAACACAAACATGCGCATAGACGCATCTGGCGCAGTTGGTCCACCACTGAGGTCTACCAGATGGGTCATAGACACTTCATCGAACCGAAGTTCATCAGTGCCTCGCCACCTGTCATTCTCTGTCGCTGCAGATCGGGTATTTATTCAAGTAGGAATGGTCGCACACCGATCTATTGGCTTCACGAAGCAAACAAGCTCCGTGTGTGTGGCAAAGGTCACGAACGGGCAACCAATTACCAGGTCGAAGTCGGCCAATTCATAATAGCAGCGAGGAGGGACGACAGAGAATGCGGGTAGATTGATACTATTATGACTGCTATTATGACTTGTCCGACTTCGGTTTGGTAATTGGTTGCCTGTTCGTGACCTTTGCCACACATACGGAGCTTGTTTGCTTCGTGAAGCCAATAGATCGGTGTGCGCCCATTCCTGATTAGATGCTAGTATTCTTGAACAAAAATATAGGTCTGAATAACCATTTGTCTCCAGCCGGCGCTTTTAAACAAATTTTCTGTTAACAGATAAAGGCGGCCGATGTTTTATTTTATGTGCTATCGAAGGGCGTGATTTTACCTTTCTATGGACAGCTAGCAAAAGACAAGTAAGATGTTTCAACATAGATGGGGACTTCAGAGCCTGTTCAATGAAAGGAATGAATTCAGAAATATGATCGACGAACCCGTTTCCAAACGTCGCCACTTTGACGGAGACATGACTGAATATTATCACTGACAAAGAGAAGGGAGACTGGGATGGCCATTTCTGGATTATTAGCCGTCGTCAGTGGTTTGAGGCGTTAGGTTTCTAACTAACAGTTCGCGGGATCGAGCCCCAGGTGTTCCATACTTCGGGGTTGGTTATGCCTTGTTGATGACGGCTAATAAGCCAGAAATAGCCACTCTAGTCTTCCTTGTCTTTGTCGGTAATAACATTCTGCTTATATCATGCGCCGTTGTGCGGCTGATGGCTGGGTTCGAGAGAGAGCCCTTAAGGCACAACGGGATGAGTGAGTTCCGTAAGAACGATCAGTGAGCGCCCCTATACCACTGAATCATGACTTTCTGAAACAGTTGGAAGACACAAAATATCCCTCAAAGATTACCAACTGTCTAAAAGAAACTGAAAGTCTCAGAACTAAGGGCCGCTGTCCATGTTATTTGCACTCTAACCACGGCCTCTGATCAACACCTTACGACGGCGGAAGTGGAACAATCTCCACTGAGTACGCCCGGCCATTGGTAGTTGCAGTTCTCGGCGCCCTCCAAAGAATACTGCCGAACTCGATGACCTTTTCCTAAAGGAACCATGCAAAACCCGCTTAATCAAGGATGTTCTTATTTTTGGGAACCTTAACGCTCCCAATATCAGCTCGAAAGCTTAAATTGTTTTGGCTCCACCGGATAAATTCGGTCATCATTTGTTCTAAAAGGCAACAGAAAAATTACTTTTCCAGAATATACATACAAATCCAGGGAAGCGATACGTTCAAATTGTATAGAACTGGTGCTCACTCGATATGAGGAGTGTGTTGGACCTACAAGATCATCCGTCAATTAATGCTGGTAATCATATTGCAATGCTACTTGACTATTCCATGTTCTCCCAGCCTGCCGTACCTAAACAATCGAAAACAAACATCTGGAAGGGAGATTTTTCCAGCATGTGAACGCAAGTCTCAGCATTTGCATGGGCAACCACATCGCGGGAATATTTAGCGAATACTAGAGCATGTTCAGTCCGTTGGTAAAAAGAATCATTGTTCTTTATTGCCCACACAGACGGAAGAAAACAAGTTACCGTCCGCGGTTGATAAACTGTGAGCATCATATCGGCTTTAAGGGAAGAAGAAAGTTGTGGTAGCAATTTCGACCAACCTTGATAACGAACACTTGTCGGAATACAAACGACTGTAGGATATGGGCAAACGCGATGCAAAAAGACTCCGAAGGATCTAGGAACCGAGTATATTGCCGAACACTTTGGAGTATCCCAATATCCCATACGGTTACACATGTAATAATAAATTCGTCTAGGTCCCAAGACGCGGTATTGCAGAAGGATGACAAAACTAAAGCACCAGTGATTTCTACTTTCTCCTAGTCGGATATTCACTCATAAAAAGAGCCCTCTTCATCTCCACTACCCTGAACTACTACAGACTTTTATATCGTTTGCATTAGAAGGTAATCGTTGCTCGCGCCTACATCGAAAATGACATAACTACTCCATCTAAAGCCTGCCAAGTCTCTTGGTCCGGACAGAACTCATCCACTTGCTCTTCGAGAGTTGGCAGACGTATTGTGCGATCTAGTGTCGTTGGTATTTCATAATTATATTGAAGGAGGTGAACTTTCGGATAAATGGAAAACTGCCTTTATCTTTTCGGTCTACAAAGAAGGGTTCTGGCTGGTGTCCGAAAACGACCACCCCGTCAGTCTGACCTGAATTTTATGCCAGATCATGGAGCAGCTTATGAAGAGGAACATGATGGCCTATCCGGAGCGGAGAAACCTACTATGCGCTGCCCGGCACGAATTTCGTCGTGATTACTCATTTCTTACGAGTTGTCTTTACTCTCAGGGAAAGTCGAAAAGGCCATATACTAGGTCCAGGCGTTTGGAATGCTTCTCATGAATGGGAAAACAGTCCGTCTTACGCTAATTCATACGTGTTAGTCGTGTGATTGAGACAAATTGCAGACCCGTCTTAGATGTGACCCCGACGGTTCTTTAATAAAAAATTATCTGTCTATCTATTCTGCTGCACCGTCGCGGGGAAGACCATCCAAAGGAAGTGAAGAATTCTTTGGAAACCTACAAACTCTTGTCGAACGCACAATATGACTTCCGTGTGGGGATATCATTTGTAACCAATTTTATTTGCACGATGTAAATCTAGACAAGATCGTCCGATGAAGAACACACTATGCGTGCTGACTACACTAATTCCAGGAGTGCCTGTGATAGTGTTCGCGCAGGCGTGTTTTGTGCAAGCTGATAGTAATGGGCATTAGTGGCAAACTTCGTAAATGGATAAAAAATTTCGTCGCCGATCTTTCCCATTTTTTCTGTAGGACAGCAGCAATCAAGATGGATGTAGTCCCCCAAGGTCCAGTACTGAAGCCGACACTTTTCCCTTCGTTCATTAATGGTTGATTATATGAATGGGACTGCCACTATGCAATGTATACGGAGGAAATAAAAACTAAGAAGGCATTCAGGATGCCGTCAAGAAATTTCTTGTCGATTAAGATAGCGGTCCCGCAGATGGCTCCTACTATTCACTTGTGGCAAGTTCATCGTGCTGCGTTTCAGGAGTCGAAGCCAGGTCCCTGGTAGGTGCACCTATCATCTAAACAGGATATCACTTCGAGGAGCTTAAATGCGGAAAGATCTCGGCGTTTGGATGACGAGCATTCTGATGTCTTCTAAATGATGTTACAAAATATCACAGTGTTGTATGCCATCAAGCAGCATTCGCCGCTTTCCATGAGGACGGCATCTCGAAAGTCTTTGGTACCACTTGTAAGATCGCATCTTGAATATGCGATACAA